ATACTATCTACCCTCACTCACCCATAGTAGATGTGAAGACGGGCCCAAGGAGGCCGAGACTGATATGGCTACTACTGTTTCTACTACTGCTGGCTATCAATGTAGCCGAGCCTTAGTAGCATCAGTACTATCTCTGACGCTAAAATTTGTCAGAAGTGACGCTGGTTTGAAGTAAGCGCTGGAGCTCATCCCCTTGGCCTCAATAAGAAGTGTGCATCTGGGTTTATTGGGTTTCATAATTTACCTGAAAGAAATTTGGTGGTTAGGAGGTCGTCTACTTAAAATTACCTGGGGTCCAACTTACCGTTCTGAAATTATATTAGTATAGCTGGCGGCGCGAAGGGCCGCGCACACCTCCAATTCACATGCGCAACAAATTTACGTTGGTGTATTTTATTTGGTTTACTTAACTTTTTTATATTTAAGTTCAGTTTTCGGTTCAGTATTATGCTAACTATATTTATTTTTGTTCAAGATTATTTTAAAGTAAGGTCAGTTCACCTTACTTTAGTCTATGTATTTTCGTTGGTTTATTTTCGCTTTAGTTAGTTATTTTTTAATTTAGTAATTTCCCAATATTTGCACGATTGCGCATCTTAATTATGGCACGTTTTTTGTTGACAAACATTAGGGCATTTAAATAATTATTCCTGCTTTTTCTACTTTTATAAACTTTGATTTTTTATTTATATTTCCTTTCCCTGTATTGCCCAGACTGCATACTTTTTATTTCGCCCGGTTCTGTATTACAGATGGATGGAGCTTTCGCATGCTGATCTGGGACCTAAATTAGGATTCTACCAAAAGTCGCTACAAGAATGCTTGCGAAGGCTTTAGATCGAGCTCCTAAGTACAACGGAACGAACATGTTACGTAACCAGATCGGTGTGCGCCCTGCTATCATCATATTCCCGATCACAACCGACAAAACAGCCGACCTGTGGTGCAGTCAATGACCAAAGGTCGCCATTTCGAATCTCGGGGATCGCCAACTCTGCGATTGGGCATGGCTGGCTGATGACAGCTAATAAGCTAGAAGTGGCCATTCCGGCCTC